GAGAGAGAGAGAGAGAGAGAGAGAGAGAGAGAGAGAGAGAGAGAGAGGAGGAGGAGGAGGAGGAAGGGTTGATGAAGTAACGGGAGGGAAGGAGGAATGAAGGGAGAGACAAAAAGATTCAGAGAGAAAAAAATGCCGGGTTTGATAACGTATGGGAAGAAAGGAAGGGGGAAGGAATAAAAGGAGGGAGGGAGAGAGAGAAAGAAAGACAGATAGAGAAAAAGAACAAGAAAGAGATGTAAGGGAGGAAGGAGGTAGGAAGAAATGAAGGGAGGGAGGGAGAACGAGAGAGAGAAAAAAGAAACAGGCAGAAAATAACAGGCGGGCTAGAGAGAGTGAGTGAGTGAGAGAGAGAAAGAGAGAGAGGGGGAGGGAGGGAGGAAGGGAAGGAGGGAGGGAGGAAGGGAGGTAGGGAGGGAGGTAGGGAAGGGAGGGAGGGAGAGAGAGGAGAGGAGGGAGGGAGGGAGGGAGGGAGGGAGAGAGAGAGAGAGAGAGAGAGAGAGAGAGAGAGACAGAGAAAGAGATAGAAAGATAGATAAATAGAGAGAGAGAGAGAGAGGGAGAGAGACAGATAGATAAATAAATAGAGAGAGAGATGAATCATGGCATTCAACGGGCATGAACACCACAATAATAACACACTAATATAATGACCCAAGAACCACTATTTTTTTAGCGGTATTATCACGACACAATTATTATTATTATTTTTTTTTTACCCCGATAACTCTTTAAGTCACCCTAAACTTATCGTTATTAACTCTCCCTCAAGATAGGTATCAATTGCCATATATGAGAGACTCACCCGGTGGCAACAGCGTAACGCGGGCTAATCTTACATGTTTTTTTTTTTTTTTTTTTTTTTTTTCATTACGTTACTTCAAGGATTAGCAAATGTATTTATCATCATCATCATCGTAATAATTATCATTATAACTACCATCAGGTTTATCATTAATCAACGTCCTTGTTTTCACATCACCATCGTCAATTTTATAATCAGTACCATCACCATCATCACAGTCACTATCATCATTGTCATGGTCATTGTCATTAGCATTGTCATCACCTTAATCATCACCACTATCATCACCACCACAATCATCATCACCAATCACACATCATCCACCATCAAACATTAATCACTCGTCATGCATCACCCCCCCCCCCCCCGTGCAAAATACCTCAATGTGTTGTTAACTTCCATTTTATATCAGCTTCTATTTGCGGTGTTTGGGACCAACATTCTCTCCCTCCCTTCCTCCCTTCATTTCTTCTCTCCCGCTCTTTCTCTGTCTCTGTCTGCCTGTCCGTCCGTCTCTCTCTCTCTCTCTCTCTCTCTCTCTCTCTCTCTCTCTCTCTCTCGCTATAAATCTATCTACCCATCTATCTATATGTGTGTGTGTGTGTGTGTGTGTGTGTGTGTGTGTGTGTGTGTGTGTGTGTGTGTGTGTGTGTGTGTGTGTGTGTGTGTGTGTGTGTGTGTATGCACGTGTGCGTGTGTGTGCGCGCGTGCACTGTCACTAGCTACTATAAAAAAGAAAGAAAAAAGGTTCTATGCAGAACTTATCTTTTGCGGTTCCTCTAATGACAATAACCGATACGAGATATTTCCTACTCTTCCCTAGATCCCCACTTCCTATACTAGTAAAAAAATCGTATGATGCAACCAAACCCGTTCTGAAAGACATCATTTTTGATGTATGGAATGGCGCTCCATAGATACTTATATATATATATATATATATATATATATATATATATATATATATATATATGTATATATATATATATATCAACAAAACTAATTACCCAAAATGAGATTATTCACTTATAACGAAAATCACGTGCTAGCAATAATCATTACGCTGGTCTCCTTGTGAAAGCAACTGTTCGTCTGCCGTGACGTTTACCGTATTTTCAGGTGACGACCCCCGGCGCTTGTATAATGAGTAACTTGCATTACTTAATATTTACTATTGAGCTACGTATACGTATAACGATATTTCATGACTATAATTTTTAATGACTACTCTGCATCACAAAAGTCAATGAATTACTTTCTTTTGTGAAAATCACTTTCACAATATCATTATTTTTTTTTTGGGGGGGAGAGATCGAAAATGCCTCTTCTTTCAATAATAGCAATGCCTACTTCTAACCCTAAACTTAGGTAAATGCTACAAAAAAATAGAGTAATGATATTAACCAACATGGCTTAAATCAATCTCTACGATATGAGGAATTAAATTGTCCATAAATAAAGACGATAATTAAAAGATGCTTTTCATTCATTTTTTTCTTCAGTGTTATGAAGGGTTTCGCAGTTTTATGTTCGAGAATACAACAGGAAGTGGATTGCTGAATCCTTCTTTCACACCTGGGAACTTCCGCTTTATCATCTTTCTCAGGATTACAAAGACCATTTTTGGTGACAGAAACAGAGACATAAATAGACAGACCAACAGAACGAGAGACAGGCTGACAGAAACAGTGAGAC